CAGTTTTCCAGAAACTCCAAAAACTCTCCAAAACTTTTCTTAATAAGTTAAAATTGTAGCACGCGAAATTCTGATCAAAATGAGACATTGCCCAGCTCTACATAACATTTCTTTGCAAAGTTATGGAATTTACAAGAAAAGCCCAAATGTTCATTGTCAGCTCAAAGCTACAAATATAAGAAGGAAAAAATTGATTTAGGGCTTTTCTTGTAAATTCCGTAACTTTGCAAAGAAATGTCATGCAGAGCTGGGCAATGTCTCATTTTGATCAGAATTCCGCGTGCTACAATTTTAACTTATTAAGAAAAGTTTTGGAGTTTTTGGAGTTTCTGGAAAACTGGTTTTCTAGAAATCCAGTCTTTAGAGACCAGCGGCCCAAACCATTGTCATATTCGGATTCAGCACATTTTTTTACCTATTACCCACTAGCTCAGAGGTGGCAGTTGGTGACCTTCCCTCGTAAGATCTTAGTAAGATTTCGCTTATATTTGTCCACGATCTTAGACAAATCTTACTAAGATGATGAGACTCGAAAATTCTAAGATTTGATAAGGATTTTCTAAGATTGGATAAGAACCTGTCAGCATCTTAATAGTAAGATGACAACGTTTTTCAAATAATATTCATTAGACATACGCTGAAAACTTTTCAGTTTTTAATCCGTATTATTCAAAGCAGCAGTTGAACAGTATTGAAGAATGAAGAGAAATTTCATGTTTTCGGGTGTCCAGCTATGGACCTTGACCTGCATGTACATTCTCTAAAAGGTTGTTGAACACTTTCGAGAGAGCAGGTACTAGTAGAGTCTGGAAGAAAAATAACCATAAAATCACTCATATTTTCGGTGTTACTTATGTAGTTGAATGAGAGCAAAACAAAGGGATGAATGAAAGTCGAGTCATTAAATCTTAGTAAGATCTTAAAGGATAAGATGTTATAAGATCTTAGTAAGATAATTTTAAGAAATGTCTAAGATTTTTACTAGGAGATGTTTTAAGTTATAGAAAAAACTGTTTTCTACATTTTGATCAGACTCTAGGAAATCTATCTTAAAAAAAGCTGTGGTCAAAATGCAGAGATCTTCACCGTTGGTTTCAATTCTTAAAAAGCAGGTCTCAGCATTTAGATTACAGTTTTATGAGGATAGGTTATTCAGAGTCTGAACACATCTCAAAATGACGAAAAGTTTTCTTTTTAATTTAAAACGACTCCGCACTCTCTACGATTTTTAGCTTCGGAGTTACAGTCAAAACAAAATTAGCCAAAAAAAGGAAGGATGTGACATCTTTGTCATAGGAGTTGTGCGGAGAAGCCGCCCGACTCTTCCGCGAGTTTTTGTAAATAGATGTTAAGCAAACTAACAAAACAACGGGTATTACTAAACGTACTCGTTCAAAACTTTTTTAAAATGGCTTCAACTTGAAATACTGACGTATCGGATACGTACCTGTGAAACAAGCAAATTCACACTATGTGATGCAAATATCTTTTATGTGAAACTGCTTTTCGAACTCACTCTCACACTCCCCTCACCGTCCCAGATGTACCGCCAGAAATGTGCCTCGTTTGCTCACAAGAAGATTTAATATTAGAACTAGATTTGAAAGTGAATCATCTTGACAGATATCGCTTGTAACATCTATATATTTATGTACAAGATACATCGAGTATTACTTAGTTTTGTCAGACAGCAAGAATGTTACTATTAAGATCCGGGAAAATTACAAAATTTACAGAAACGACATGGAAAACAAAAAAAGCAGTTATCTGCATTGTCTCGTATTTAGCTGTTCTATTTACAAATTTATGTTGTTATCTGTATTATTACTCTTTGTTGTATGTAATTCTTCTATTAACTCAGTAAATAGATGGTAATAACAAGCTAAGATCTTTCTCGTAAATAAACTTGACGTTTATTAAAAATGATATTCTTAATCTACTTAAAATCGGATATATTTTCTTTTTTCCGGGCAAAAAGATTAATTTTTTCGTACAATTCTACGTTCATTCTTTCAATAAAAGAAATTGCGAGCATTTTCATATAAGTCCTAAAATACACATTGTCATCTCTCAAAATCGATTTTTTGATTTAGAGCTGTTCAAACAACACAAAACACATCATTTGTCGTGCGATGTCCTTGAGAAAATTATAGGAAATTAAATTAATTTTTTTCTAATATTACTATGTCAAAACATAAAATTTAATGCAACTATTTTTGTCACACAAACAGCACTAAATGGTCACTTCAGACGTTATTTTTTACTAATGTGCTCATATCTTCATTCCATGAATAAAGAAGTATTCATTCCATCTTACTAGAGATGCCTTTGCTATCCAAAATCATAGATCATAGTCATAATCATGAGAATTATTTCACGTTAAATTGGAAACATTCTGATTTTCGTGATTATGCTCTTATTGTTTACGAAGTTAATCATTTAGTTGAAAGGTCTTTGAACTTTTTTCCCGTCGTATTCATTAATAAATATATACGTAACTAAACGTTTCGATATGATATATTGAAATGTTTAGTTAATATACATTTATTAATAAATACGAAAGGAAAAAGTTCAAAGACTCTTCAACTAAATTGTAATTTTCAATTCTGCGTTTAGTACTTTTTCTTATGTGAAATCTCATGTAAGAACAGTACTAAACCCTAAAGATCTGTTAAATTGGAAGCGTAATACAAAAGTGAAAAGTCCATCGAAGACGGTCAAAAGAAAATATCCTTGAAAAGGAGGACATCCTGGGGGACAAATCTTTAAATGTGGGATTATCCCCTTTATGGGGGGACATCTGGCAACCCTAATCGTAATGTACAGTGAAATACTGACTGTGTAATCATGAGTATAATGAGTTTCCACCATTTTCAGCTAACTTGTATGAATCAAACTTTGTCCATTCTGGATCTGCTGAACCGACAGTTCATGCGCTTTTTCATCTGTGTCATATATGTTTTTTCCCGGCATTTTTATTTTTCTCAACCAAAGCATGTTTATTTATTAAAATTAATGATATATTCCGAATCAGTTCGTTCGAGTTGTATTAAATCACATATAAAAAAAGTAAATTTTCGATACAACTGATCCGTTTCCATAAAAAAATTTTCTCAGGAACTTGCAAGATGGATTTTTTCAATGAGATAATTCTTGTTTAAAAATTTCCGAATCCACGCCGTTTGATCCAATTTAACGGACTAATCCCGATTATCTCATTGAATTTCCGAAGAAAATGATGTGAAGCTGAGAAATCAAGAAAAGGTTTTCTCATGTACTAGTGTTCCATTATCCTCAGAACAGCATTTGGGAAACAGTCTGAGGTAGAAAGAACGTTAGGAACGTTTGAGAAAGTTACTATAATGACCGCAGAGAATTAATTACGGTCTAAAATGTTTTCCTATAATGGTACTGATCGTCTGTCCATAATCCAGAAAGTTTCAGGCTTTTAACTCGTTCCTTTCACGAGTTATCAAATTATTATCAGGTTAAAGAAAAGCAGGCGTCACTAATTCAAAGTTCGAGCACTTTTTATTCTTAGCTTAAAGACATATCACTAGATTTGGCTTTTGCCGATGATCACAAATATGTCCTTATTTTTTAGATTCGACAAAGTTTTCGTGAAGAAAAACGCAAAATAGCGAGAGGATGTCAACATTCGCAAAAATTCTTCTTCTGAAAAGCGTTTTTTAACTCTGTTCCATTCAACTTTTTCGTCTCACTGAGGCGCTTTGTGGATTTCTCATGTGAAAATGAGTAGAGACATGTAACCCAGAGCCTTATGACATATAATGTATCCAGTCTGGGAATCCATGATATAGTGCTTCTCGGTTTGTACTAGCGAATCTGACAAATCTATCGAATATTTTGTTGAAACATAGAACCTTCATTCATGCGCCATTTGAATCGCCAATTCAAGCGCAACAAAAGTTTAGACCCTTTGTTTTCTTTTCCTCTTCTGTGCTGAGAAAATGCAGTTTTTTCCAAGGCGAAAAACTCTGATTTTTGCTCGTAATTCTCAATGTTGTCAACCAGGACTCAGCTTTCATATAATAAAAATGTCATATTCGGAATCAGGATCGAAAACTGAGTTGATTGATATGTATCTCTATTAGATCCTAGCACTTTTATGTTTTCGACTTTTCACGTTGAAACATCATCGAGATTTTCACCAAAAAATAAAAATAAACTAAAAGTTTCGAAATACACATCAGTCAACTCAATTAATATGACATTTTTATTACATAGAAGCTGAGTTCTGGTTGACAAAATTGAGAATTACGAGCAGAATTCAGACTTTTTCGCCTCGGATTTAGAAAAATGAATTTTCTCAGCCCTCGCTCGTCCGAGAGAGTGACGAAGGCTGGGAAGTTCGGAACATCTCTGTTCGACGGCTCTGAATTATTCTCGAGGGCTCACTAGCTGGCTGAAATCCGGAGCCTTGAAATCTGCAACCTCTCGAACGTTTATATCGAAGATCCGAAGTCTCATTTTTCGAGTACTCGCCGCACTCCTCAAACCACTTTTTCATCTGTATGGGAAAGCTTCAATTTGTAAATTTCTAATTAGCGTATAATCGAAGAGTCGTGACGAATTGAGACAAATTTTATAGCAATATCTAGCACTGAAAGTTCATTTATCATTTTCTTTTTACTTAAAATTCTTGTATCGACTTTTTTTTGCAATGATTATTATTCTCAACGTCTAGCGTCGTATGTAAATTTGTTACCGTAGCCCTGACAACTTAAATGGTATTTCTGTGAATAATTCCACTTTCACTTTTTTTCCTAAATATTTATATTACTCTCTTCAAAACCACAAAAGAAAATTACCTTATTCGTTGTTCTACTTAGAAAACCTTTTGACATTGAATCAACTAATTGAAAATTATAGGGTAACGAATAAATACAATAATTAATTAATGATGAATCTTCACGATATTTATTAGTAAAACATCCAATTGTCCATTTTTGCCATTCATCACTTTGAAATGTTGTAATTATATCGTCATTAGTCATTTCAATATACGATAATGAACCAATATAAAATTGAAATTTTTCTAATTGTTTTAATTTTGATAAAATATCATTTTTTAATATATTACCATCAATTATTCTATTAAAGACATTTTCACCATTACAGTGAGAACCACATACATGATCTAGAAATAATTATACAAAATATTAATTTAAATATAAAATTTTTTTATTAATTATTATGTAGTATACCTGAATAAAATGATAAATATTTTAATTTTTCAAGATATTTAATTAATGACGTCAATGCTGCATAATGAATAATAATAGCAATTAATGAAAATTTTGTTAAAAAATTTACTTTTGTTGATAATTGCTTATATTCTATATTATCTTGTAATTGTAGACTTTCTAATCGAATACATAATGTTTCTATTTTTGGTAAATTATCCATGACAATAAGCATTTCTTTACTATCATATAGATCAATGTTTAGTAGACGAATAGTAGATGAATACCATGTTGACAATGAATTAGTTGAATAAAAATAAAATGTTTTTTGATTATAATCAAAATAATCTGTACGTTTTATGCGTACAATTTCTAATCGATTATTAGACATAAATATGTGTTGATAAACATGTTTAAGAACTGATTCATAACATTTATCAATAGTTAAATTAATTTCAATTAAATTTGGCATATATTGTAAATTTGAATAGAGTGGAGCAGTTTTTACCATTGGAATATCTTTAACACAAAATTTTCTTATATTTGTCATAAAATCTAAACATACAACAATCACATTTTATTCAA